AAACGCCAGCCGATTTAACCGGGCCCACTTTTCCCATAAGACCGGTCCGTCGTCCTTTGTAATTCTAAATTTGAGATTTATTGGGATTTCAAATTAATTGATCCTCATTAGGAAATGATTTTTGATATATGAAATTTTCCAACTTTTTCCTTGGAGGAGGAAGGAAGTTGAATTTAATGAATATCATCAATTAAGGTGAATCCAGGATTCGATTAGGGATAATTCAAGATTAGAGATAGCGCCACCAGTCCCCACTGAGAATTTCACTTTCCTTCGAAGTTTACTGAAATAATATTTCCCGAATTACCAAAAGCAGATCCACAAGATATAGATTAATTTTTGCTTGATTTTTTGAGCCAAAAATATTGGCTACTAGAATTACAAGCGCAGAGAAAGTACGGCTGAAACTTCCAGGTCAGAGGCGGTGGCCGAGCGCGCAACGGAATCTCTCATGTTCTGTCTCTCTCTCTCCCATTGCCGATGGGAATTACTTTCCGCCGTAGTTAAGACTTTATTTATGGGAATTTTGAGAAGATTTTTCTACTGAGTGTTTCTCACGTATGTTGCCATATCCCCTGGATCTCCAATATTGAATAAGTATTACGGTTTTTATTATTTTGGCAAATATATGCAGCTATTCTGAGCAGCGCGAGGTGGTGGCCAAATCGTGAAGTTCCAAGCCTGGATTCACCTTAATGTTAAGCACTTTAAACAGATCTACCCTCAAATTACTGTAAATTGCAGGAAACCCAAATCGTTCAGAAAAGTAGGAGTAGTTTCGAATTTTTTGCCCATACAGTATCTGAAAATTAAGTTAATCATATCAGAGAAGTTTTGTGAAGTTTTCATTGGATTCTCTAAGCTATTTCGTCATTTTTCTCCTTTTTATTGTCGAAAACTCATCTAGATTAACTTTCAAACCTACACACCCACGGTCTATTCTTCAAATTTCCCAAACTGAGGTGAAGTGGAATCCGTTTCTGCAGATATACTCATTTGTTCCTAGAACTTTTGCAAAGTTGGTTGATTCTATCAGCAACGATTTAGCCAGAGGAGAATAGTTAAAAGGGTACATAATCGACGTTCAGTATCAAAAATAAGATAATGCCTTGTAATAAATTATGGAATTACCAAAGCACCTCGGCAATTTTTAGAGAATATTTCTCAACATATGTGAACGCAAGGTGCGACACTAACATACAAGCCATGGCAGAGATACAATTTTTTTAATTTTTGCAAGTAGGAGAATTTGACTTCCTCCTGAAGTCTGTAACTATCTGTAGAGGCTGAAATTTTTCCAAAGCACCAGGGAAACAGTTAAGGTAAGATGGGGGAGGGGAGGAGACAAAATGTGATTTTAGGAACAACCTCTTTCTCCAGAATCAACCCCAGTGACTTTCTGTTCTACGTTTTATTTGTTCATTTGTTTTCATCTGTTGTTATTTCTTGATTGTTTCCAGGTCAACCCAAGAATGGGCCGCCATGCCCATGCGATTACACTCATCAGATCTGCAATTGGTCAACGGAGCACTGCCCCGCCAAACTACGTTCTGTCCGCTGCTCTCCATGCTGGTAATATTTTCTATTTCGTTATTATGAAGAATAAGTTGTTTCTACACAGCTTTCGGTTAACATTGAGGAATTTTATCTAGTAGAAGGGCAGCAATCCTTTTCATGAAACTTCAGAGGGTGCAGTTTCTGCAACTTAGCAAAGTATAGTATGAGGAAGTGATCTAACAGATCCTGAATGTCTCCCTATAGGGGATCGTAATGTAAAGGAATTCTTGCATGTGTCAGGTAGTTCTTATTTAAAGGCTTCCCCTTGTGTTAAATTTTGCGGAGAACAGGGTGGTTTAACTTGCTTTCTCTGAAATAAATTCATAAGCGCACAAAAGCTGTAAAGTTAAGGCTGTAATGGAGGTGATGTCTCATGTTACGGTGAGAATCCACCTTTATATCTGGTCAAACTCTCCATGCATGCACAAAGAGGAAGCAAGTACATTTGCAGGGTTGCCATTTTGTTCAAAGAGTCCAAGACTGGAGCCATGGCAACCCTGCTAATGTATTTGATCTCTATCTGTGCATGGAGTGTTAGAAAAGATATGGAGGTGGGCTCTCAATGTAGTGTGGGATATTCTCTTCATAACCGCCTGAACTTGAGAGAATTTTCCCACCACACAATGGAGGCTGCAACAGATTACCCAGTTCAGCATGTTCCGAGTAAGGATATTTATCTAAATTGTAAGAAAATTATTCTCGACATGAAAACAGCAGGAAACATGACGAAAACGGTTATTATTATGTGAAGCTCTCATACTCATCGATGGATCTTTTTTTTTCATTTTTCCGTTTCCATGCCTTGAGGCATATAATTGGTTGGTTATTGGGATGGTGCATTAGCAATCTTTTGAACTATTGTCTAAAGCAGTATGTAGGAGAATGGAAAATTGGAGATTTAGAGAAAAACATTTAAAATTTATTTTCAAAATCGGTAATTGATAGCCTTACGAAAAAATCAATTTGCCCAAAAATTAATCAAAAACCTTGGTTTGATGAACTAAAATGGAATCATAGTGAAATAAAAAACTTAATTAGACTTCGAATAGGACATGGAAACTTCCCAGTTCATTAAAAGAACTTAAATCTGAAAGACTCAGAATTATGCGAATGTAGACTATGGTGACCTAAACCACTTATAATTTGAATGTCAAAATCTAATAAATCGAGATATGATGATTCAAAATCTAATTGAAAATAACTACTTTCCTCCATTCAATGTCCCATATATACTTCACACCCCAGATCCCAAGATACAGGGTGCGGCAAAAGTCCCGGGACGGCTGTTTATTTTTTAAACGGCTACACGTAGAAAAACGAATTTTTGGGGATGTTCTTGGGTCAAAGTAAGCTACTTTTTGGCACTACCCAAAATTTGTTTGGGGTCCCCCCCAGGGGAGGGCGGGGGGCAACTTTTTTTTTTCAAATGGCAACCCCCCCTTTG